CCATTTTTACTGACATGACTCTTTGTACTGTTCTATAATATATATTTATACATTAATATGTAATTTATATATGTGCAGATATTTATACATACATGTATATATTATTTATATGTAATTTTTTTTTTTTTTTTTTTCTCTGCGTTTAATCTTTTCTTTACCCATTGTCGTTGTATTTTTTACAAAGCGCGTTTTTTTTTTTTTTTTTTTTTTTTTTTTTTAGTCGTTAACTTTTCTTCGGCTGAAGAATTAACAAATGGTAAATTATTTCCATCGTTAATTCCCTAACCCTTGATTTTACAACATTTTCATTTTTAACAATCTACATATTGCCCAAAATTGAAGCTCCATTTTGAAGCCCATTTTTCTCCTGTCTTCCGAATTACCCCTCCATTCCGTTTTTGATTTCTCCCATTTTCTTACCTCAAAATTTGCAAGTATCTGTTTTATCGTCCTTTTTTTTTTTTTTTTTTTTTTTTTAAGGGCTCTTTTCCTATGCAAATATCTTAATGCATTTACATCTACCATAAGTTTTGCACTATCTCCACCAAAAATATTTCCCGTGAACTTTTTCCATCAACATCACAAACTCTTAGCTTCCTTAAAATAGGGAACCATGGCAGAGGTCGCAAATAAACAACTCAGAAGGGCCGGTCAAAATAAACCCACAAATAGGGATGTCAATAGAGAGGCCAATAGGAATACCAACAGATCCTCAAATCATATCGCAAATAAAACTCCAAACAATGTCGCAAATAAAACTCCAAACAATGTCGCAAATAAAACCCCTAACAATGTTGCAAATAAAACCCCTAACAATGTTGCAAATAAAACCCCTAACAATGTAGGAAATAAAACCCCTAACAATGTAGGAAATAAAACCCCTAACAATGTAGGAAATAATAGAACCCCAAACCATATCGAAAATAAAACTTCCAACTATACCGAAAACAAAACCACAAATGAGACCACAAGTAATGTCGTGAATAATATCTCAAACAAGTCCCCAAATGAAACCGTAAATCATGTCGCAAGCGAGACTATAAGTAAGGCCACAAATGACACTACAAGTAAGGCAACAAATGAGACTACAAATAATGTCACAAATGAGACTATAAGTAATGTCACAAATGAGAATAGAAGTAATGCCACCAACAAAACCACAAGTAAGGCAACAAATGAGACTATAAGTAATGCCACCAACAAAACCACAAGTAAGGCAACAAATGAGACTATAAGTAATGCCACTAGCAAAACTACAAATAAATCTCTAAACGAAGGTACAAATAATGCCATTAACGAAACCACAAGTAAGTCTCTAAACGAAGGTACAAATAATGCCATTAACGAAACCACAAGTAAGTCTCTAAACGAGGGTACAAATAATGCAGCTAACAAAACCACAAGTAAGTCTCTAAACGAGGGTACAAATAATGCAGCTAACAAAACCACAAGTAAGTCTCTAAACGAGGGTACAAATAATGCAGCTAACAAAACCACAAGTAAGACTACAGATGAGACTACAATTAAGGCTACAAAGGAGGGTACAAGTAAGGACGCTAACGAAACCTCAAACCAAAGAAGCAACCTGAAAAGAGGATCATTCGTAAGCAGGGATGGGCTAGAATTAAAGACATACGAATGGGTGGTCAGTAACCCATGCGGTATCATAATATTAGTGCATGCATTAAATTCACACGTGAGATTTGAATATCTTAAGCTTAACGCAAAAATTGAAAGTAATGAAAAGGCAACTCTGATAGATGCAGATAACTATTATCTATACGAAGGAAGTTGGATAGAAAGATTAAACAAGGAAGGATATTCAGTATACGGATTAGATATGCGTGGTCATGGGGAATCGGAATGTGTTCTTAATGTCAAAACGCATGTAAATGAATTTAAAGATTTGATTAATGACGTATTACAGTATATAAATATCGTTCATGATTCGTTATACACTGATGAGGAGAAGCATTCCAGTGGTGGTAACACTGCATCAACGAGTAATGTTAACAAAAATCATAATGAAAGAAGCAATAAAGCAGAAAACACAATATCAACTAAGGCGAAAAAAAATAATTCTGAAAATAATAACCTGCCATTCTATTTAATGGGTTTATCCATGGGAGGAAATATCGTTTTAAGAATCCTAGAATTAAGAGAAAAAACAGATGATGAAAATATCAAGAAACTGAATATCAAAGGAGTGGTAAGTCTAGCAGGAATGATTTCATTAGATGACTTAAAAAAAAAAACAGAATATAAATATTTTTACATACCAATATCAAAAATTGCTTCCACTCTTTTGCCAACCATGAGACTTAGCCCTGTTCTAAAATTTGAAAAATTCCCATATATTAATGACCTATTTAGTTTTGATAAGAATTGTTGCCCCAAGCCAGTAACAAATCGATTTGGATGCGAACTTTTGAAAGCCGTAGATGCACTACAAAAAGATATAAAGTTTATCCCTGAAGATGTACACATTCTAATTATTCATTCTGTTTTGGATAGTGCATGTTCCTATGCTGGGGTATCCACATTTTTTAATAAAATCAAATCAGAGAACAAGGAATTATTTACTATTGATGATATGGATCACATACTTCCGTTGGAACCAGGAAATGAAAGGCTTCTAAACAAAATTATAGATTGGTTATCCAACATGGGAATGAAGAAAAAACACATTTCATGTGCGTAAAGAAAAGTCGTAAATAAATTAGCAGTGCCACACATTACTGAAAGTACGCAGTTTTTTCCTCTCTTATCGCACATGTTGGGAATCCGTATATATTTAAACACCACACGGAAAGGAATATAGAAGTAAGGGGGTTAAGGGTGGTGGTGGTAGAACATTTTTTTTATCCTTCTAACCACGGTGCATATAACAAGATGGGCAGAAAAGTATACGAGAAAAACACAGATAAACGGAGAGAAATGCAGATAAGCGCAGATATAATCTTTCCCTCTCCTAAGCAGAATCGTTTACAATATAAGGATTTTTTTAGGTCTTTATATTTGTAAATTTTTATCGCCCCGTGAAGAGACCAAAGGCAGTCAGGGGATAATGCACTTAAAATATGTGAGTGGCTGCGTTAGGGAGGAGGCGGGTACTTCCATTCTATAGAACGCCAATGTCCACCATTGAGTAAGAAGTTAAGTTTTTTTTTTTTTTTTTTTTTTTTTTTTTTTGACCTACGTTTTCCCACCCCCTTATCTTCCATCCTATGCTTCAATGTCTTAGTGATTTTTTTTTTTTTTTTTTCGTTTTTGCACGCATGTGTACCTGATTACGCTTTAGAACTCACTTATTAATTTAAAATGAAGGAATACTTTTTTCTCATTTTATATTTCTTATTGTTTTTTTCTTATTTCTCATTCCGTATTATTTTTTCTTATTTCTCATTCCATATTTCGAATTGTTCTTTTTATTTCGCATTGTTTTTTTTTTTTTTTTTTTTATTATCCATGCATATTTGCAGACGCGTGGAAAGGGATGCGGTGAGAGAGTGATAAGAAAAAAAAAAAAAAAAAAAAAAAAAAATATATATATATATACACCTTTAGAAAGAGAGAAAAAGTTTATGCTGCATGAATGGGGAGTAATCTCCATCCCTCTTCTACAATTTATGATAATGGAGATACCACTTCGCCTATACAGAATGGTCCTTCGCACGTAGAGGGGGAACAGGGAAATCTGCATAAACCACCCGTACATACCAGTGCACGCACGCATACACATTATTGTGCCTTGTTCGTTATGTAACACCACGATATATTTTTGTGTGCGTGTCTTTGCAAACAGTTTTTTTTTTTTTTTTTTTTTTTTTATGAACTTTATTACGAAATTTGTTGTTGAAAGGCTCAACTGCAAAAATAGTACGAAAAAATGATTGTCCTTGAAAAAAAAAAAAAACGGTTTAAAAATTCCCATGTGGAATTATGCTCGTTCCACTGTTCCTTCTCCTGTTCCCCCTTAGTCTTCTCTTTGTTACCACTCCGTTGCTTTCTCATTCTTATGCCACACTAAAAAATTCCCTTGTAACTGTTCTCAGGTGTCTTTCATTGCTTAAAGAAATGCCGTTAAAAAGGGCAAGCTGCGCGTAAATCAGTCTCTCCTGATTGGGGCACTTGCATGTGGATGTAAATGCGAATGAGAATGCAAATGAGAATGCAAATGAGAATACGAATGTGCACATAGGTATCCACATGAGTGTATCCACATCTGTTTTTGTTTTACGAGTGTGAACAGAAAAAGAATACGCATATGACGGTTTTCCCCCACTTTCAGGAAAAATATGATTTTCAGTATGACTCCCATAAAATGTGAAAAAAACAAATAAGGAAAAATAAAAAAAAAAAAAGTTCAAAAGTTACAAACTAAAGATTGAGCTTGTAGAAATTATAAACAGAATTATGGAATGTGGAAAAATGGCAACATAAGGACGAGATGCACTCATCATTTTTTTTTTTTTTTTTTTTCATACAATGTATTTTTTGCTCAATTTTTTTTATGCAATATATATATTTTTTTTTTTTTTTTTGCTCAGTTTATTTATGCAATGTATTTTCTGCTATATTTTTTTTTTTTTTTTTTTTTTTTTTTTTTGCATTTATAAAAGCTGTAAATTTTTTATAATTTCTTCACTCTTTTAGGAGGGTTACGACTTTTTCGAAATAACACACTGTCATGAAAGTTTTTTCAGAATTTTTTTTTTTTTTTTTCTCCCCGTGTACACCCAATACCGCTTAACCTTTTTTATATTTTTCTCCAATTTTTTCGAATGTATTTTCAACAATTTCACCATGTGGGCATTGAAAAAGGTTAAGAATATTACATACAAACATCATTCATCATGGTGAGTGGAAATTCGAATGAACCAAATTGGAGGGGTCACTGGGAAAAGATTCCCCTGAGGAAAAATTGCTGCCGTGGCAACAACAGCAGCAGCAACAACAACAACAGCAGCAAAAACAGCCAGAACAATAACAATAATAATAATAATAATAATAATAATAATAATAGTAACAACAACAACCAGAACAACAATGCGGGACAACAAAATGAGAATCAAAGCAACCTGATTATAATGGACGAGTGGGGGGTGGGGCCACCACCAGTCCAAAGCAGTATTATGAACAATCAGGAGAAGATCGAAAAGGAGGCCAATCAATTGGTCAGGAGGAGCTCAAGGGGCAATGAAAAGATGAATGAAATAAAAATGACACAGGTAGACGAAGAAGAAAAAAAAGAAGAAGTGTACAAAACCATGTATGAAGTAAACAGTTATTCGGAGGCGAATTTTTTTAACTGTGATTCTATCCCATGGATATCTTCTTTTTTTCAGTTGAAGGATGATGATTTCACCATTTTTGGTACGACGCTAAAGAAAAGAAACATTTTTAAAAGATGCTTTCAACGTATTCATAAAAACAGGAGGAGGAGGTGTATGTCCTTTAATCCTTATAGAGTACCACTTGTTTGCAAAAAAGCAGCACTAGAAGAAATGCTCATATCTGAACCAAAAATGAAAAAAAAAAAAAAAAAAAAAGAAAAAAAAAAAAAAAATCCTATGATGCTTTATGGCTATTTTTATAAAAAATTTCTCATGAGAGGGAAAAAAAATAACTGGCTAGAAACGCACGCATATCATTCTAGAAGATTTCATATGACGAGTATTTATGGATATAAACTTGCTTTAAAAAACTGCAGTAAAATTAGTAGGAGGATTTTCAGGTATAGCAAAAGAAAGGTTCTAATTCATGACATGTCTTATGTGGAGATAATTCAGTTAACTGCTAATGAGAAGGTCTTAATTAGCTTATTGAAAAAGTGTACAAACGCAGAACAGGTAAATTTACTAAGAAGAAAATATTACCTAGGAATATGCCTAGGAAAGATTTTTATTTATGATCCAAATGAGGATGCACCTTTTTTTACCAATAGGAAAAATGGTAATTCGGTGAGTGAAGACAATTTTTTTAACGCAAAAAAGGCGCTCATTTGTCCCGCCTACTTTTTATGGCGATCCGAGCTGAATCCAAAAATGTATTTGAAAAAAAATAATAATAAAAATAAAAAAAACATAACAGAAAAAATAAAATTGAACCCCCCTAACATTATGGGAAATGAAAGAAATGAAGATGTTGATAATGATAGTAAACCAAAACCAAATAGACAACAAAAGTGCAGTTACGAAGAAAATAATATAAGAGACATATGGATATTCGTACACCCTTTGTGTTTACAGAAAGTTATGCAAGTTTTTCAAAATATGCATTCAGAAGTTAAAATAAAACATGTAAATAATATCTGCATGTATGAATTAATTGGCCCCAAAAGTTTCCCACTGCTTGTAAATATTTTAAAAATAAAAAATAAACATGCTGTGCATGACCAAGACGCCCTTTATCATTATAATTATGAAAATATAACACTTCCTTATGACTTTGTAATTCCTCTTTACGCGTTATTGCCCAAAACCATAGGTCCATTCCTTCTGAATTATAAGGCAAATGATTATAGTAAAGTTCAACATTATGAAAGCTTGTATAACGTCCCAAAAGTTGCAGACGAAAATAATTCGACCAAGGTCGAACACAATAATAATAGCAAGGGCAAAGGGAACCATCGATCAAAATTATTGGAAAACAAAAGTGATTATATCAAAAATGCTTTGGACTATTTGAGCAAACAAAATGGAGGCAAAATGTTAAAAGCTGCTCATTTCAGCCCATATGATAATAACATACTAATGAATGAAAAAATAAAACAAAATGTAATAAAACATATAAAATATAACAAATATGAACATATTAGGAGTTCCAAAAGAAAAAAGGTAAAGACATCTATATTGAAGATGCTTAAAAATAACAAAAATATTCAGAGCTATGATATAATTAAGGAGAAAAAAAAATTAGGGTTCATACCAGGAGGTGATATGCACACATTCGAAGGGGATTCCTTTCAACAATTTGGCATTTCAGATGTAGATGGAAAAGGAGAACAAGAAAACAATCTGAACAATAATGTTAACATTAATGAAGCAAAGGGGTATGAAAATGAAAAGGTGGTGGAAGCGTCTAGTATTATCATGTATCAACTAGACAATAAAGAATATTCACCCCAAATGGAGGAAAAAAAAAAAAAAAAAAACACAAAACAAAACGAATGCCTTACTTTAAATGAGATCATAAATAAAAGTAACATACACGATAAAAATACTATACAGAATTATGTAGACGAATTCTTACAAAAATCGGATGAATTGAATAATAAAAATCAGAAGATAAAAAAAGGAAATGAAGGAAATGCACTATACAATGAAGTGAAAAAAACGAAACTTAATATTTCGCAGAATTGTAAAAGGTACATTAAAATCCCCATTATTGTTATAAATCAAACATATAACAATAATCAGAGATATTTCATTCTTTGCCCTGCTAAGAAGAAAAGTTCAATCTTATTCCAACTGTTAGTACGTAATGGATCCATAGCTATAGGCCTAAAAGAAAGAGAAAAAATTCTCAAGTGTTCAGATTTTTTATGCTATCCAAAAGATTTCCCAGATTCCTTTGGGGGAATATTATACAATAATATGAGAGAAGAATTATCAAAAAAGAAATATTTTAAAAAGCCAGTGAGGAAGAGAATCAATTATTATTGTTTAGGTGTACATAACCCATTTAACTACTCCTGGTTTTGTATATACTCATATAATAGTCACATTAGAATTATAAGAACAACTGATTCGTATAATCAATTTTTAGTCAGAACCTTTTTACACCGTTTTATAGATATATCGTTAAAACGAATTTGTCTTATCAACACGCTGGAAAATTTTCACAATTTCATACATGAGTTTAAATCAAAATTTGCTGTTTTCTCAAATTACTTTATTTCTGTTTATGTGCATGCGTATAGAGAAGGTATACCCAAGAGACTAACGCATGTTTGTTCCCTTACTGTGAAGCAGTTGATTAAGTTTTTTGTGAGTAAGTTACCAGCAGGAGTGGGAGATACATCGACACAACTGTGTATCATAACTGTGTATCATAACTGTGTATCATAACTGTGTACTATACATGTGTACCACAACTGTGTATATACCCCTGAGGGGTGGGGGCGGTGGTACAGTTCTGGCTGATCATGAAAAGCAGCATATGTAAAGGAACTGCATCAATGTTTATGCGTACAACACACAGTTCTGTAAATCTTTCTATGATAACACTTTGAATCGATCACACTTGTTAGCGTTCCACCGCATGACAATAATTTTGTTCATCATCAACGGTAGCAGTAGCAGCAGCAACATAGTTGTATTTTTTTTTTTTTTTTTTTTTTTTTTTCACCCCTCCTTTCACAGAACATGGTGATACGAGAAAAATGACAGAATGGATGACGCATAAGCGAAGTGTTAACAAAAGTAGGAATAACAACAAAATAGAAAAAATGAAAGAGCCCATAATTCGTAAATATAAAAACAAAGTAATGAAGAGAAATACATCTGTTGAAGATCAGAGAGAAACGCAGATATATCAATTAACAGAAAGAAGAAATGACAACAATTGTGAAAAAAACAACATCGATGAAATAATTTTATCCTCAAAAAAGATAATTGGTTACGTTTCAAGTGGAGGACATGTACTATCTAAGGGTCGTGGTTATGGAATTGCACATATCTCCTTTTTCTACCTTTTGGAGAATTTGCTTAATCATATATTTGTCTTGAAGCTATGTAAGGATTGAGGAAAATGCCATAGCAAAAGAAAGTGTAAATTTGCTTCATGTTAAAAAATTTTTGCACAAATCTGTTATCTACACATGTACTCATTATATACACTTTCTCCTTTTTCACGCAGTGGCAATAGATAAAATCAGGATAAACGACAGGGGAAAGGAATTTCCATTTTTGGCACTTATCAGAAATGTCAATTCGGTGTATTATTCGCATGGTAAATTTTTATAATGAAGCATAAAGCAAAATAGAACGAAATCTACATACCTGTGGCGGAAATATAGCTAGCCATTTTTATGCACGCATGAATTAATTTTTTTTTTTTTTTTTTTTTTTTTTGCAGTTTGGCTAGCTTTAATAACAGAAGATAAATACTTACCCTTTTAAGAGACCACAAAAGTGAGATTATTTCAGTATTCAACAATTTACACAACTATTTTTTTTTTTTTTTTTTGTATATTTTTCTCCTTTTCTGTTTTTACCATTTTGTGAACATTTTTGAGTAAAAAAAACATTTGTATTCACAACACATTTGTTTTTTTCCCTACTCATAATATTCTTTCCCGCGTTAGTTTATTTAAAATTTTTTATTTTTTACTTTTTTAATTTTTGCACATATTTTTTTGTTCAACAAAATAGTGTATCCTGTATACATTACTTGAAAATATCATGGAATTAGCGCTCATCTTTCAAACTTAATTAAGTCTGCAGTGTTTGCTTTAATTATATTATGTGTTTAAATTTTGAAATAGACGAATTTTAAAACAAGAACAACAAAAAAAAAAAAATGGGAAAAAAATAGAACGATATACAATGTAACGTAATGAAGTGAAAATGGAATAAAAAAAGACGCGGCGACGACTTTAAAAAATAATTTATAGAAATCGTTGATTAAATGAATTTAACTCTGCGCTACTTACGCTCATTTGGTAGCGCAAAAAATATAGGAAACTATTTAACACAAAAAAGAATAAAAAAAAAAAAAAAAGGGAAAATTATTGTGAACGAACTCTCATGTTAAAACGTAGGGGTTATCTACCCGATCATGGCCCCCATATCCCGTTCCCTACCAGGGGAGAATGGTTAAATCAAGTGAAGACAAATTCCTCCATTTAATCCGATTTCGCTACTTCAAAACGTTTCAGCAATTCCTCGCGTCCTCCCGCTTACCCATCTGCTACATGCACTCCTCTCCATCAGTAGGACGATAAAAAAACATCCGAATTTGCATTCTGCATGTAGATATTTATGTACTCATTGACCACTTCAAAATTAACGTCTTCTAAAAAGATGATACCCCTCGTTTCAATTATTTTTAAATCATCTGATACGGTACCTTTTATTCCTATGTACTTGGAGTCTGTCTTTACGAGTTTTTCCCTAACAACACAATCGACACAGTTTCCTGCAGAGATGAAAAAAAAGTTGAAAATAGTGTTTCGCCATTTCACTATTTTGTCAAAAAAATATATATACATATGTTTGGTAGTAACAAGCAGTGATGGTTCCTTTTGGGTGAACTGAGTTAGATATAATACGGATAAAAAGTTGCACCTTTTATTCTACCTTTTGTGAATTTTTTTTTTTTTTTTTTTCTTTATCTGCTTTACCATTAACCGATTTTAAATTAATTAAGTTATCTCGTATGTCAACAACCTCTCCTATGAAAAAAATATCTTCATTTATAAACTGAGACAAGTACTTCTCAGAAATAAGTTTTCCCACTTTGTTTTTATTAATAACTTCGTTTTCATTGTCGTTGCCATTGTCGTTATCATTTTCGTTATCATTTTCGTTATCATTTTCGTTATTATTTCCATCATCATATTTGTAACATGTGTCGAAGTTCTTCTTATAAGGCACACTCCCATTCTGGTTCGTCTTATCGAGACCATCAGTATCACTAATCATTTTTAAGAATGTGTATGTGGGTGTCTTATAATAGGTGTAATTCAATTTTGTTCTTGTATTGAGATGATACCGTTTTTTTTTTTTTTTTTTTTTTTTCTCATTCGTTTATTGGGTGATCGAAAAGAGCGGTTAGCACAGGTGAGAAAACAAATGATAGACTACAACAAGAAATAATGCAGAAAGGAAATTTCTCTCATTTATTTATTTTTGCTGGCACCAAAAAAATGGAGATTTTTTTTTTTTTATGATCTTTTTAAAGTATTCCTTATAACTCCAGATGGCTAAATCGTATTCTCACCACTTACACTTGTAACTTTGCAAAACGTTTATGATTTTTTTTTTTCTTTTTTTTTTTTGCATTAATTTTTTCCACACACTGGTGCGATTTTTTTTTCTTTTTATAGAAAATAAAGTCTTATGTGGGTATAAGGACGCATTTTTCAATATTATTTTCTTTTTTTCCTCACTACTCTGATTTTAGAAAAATGTGCCACAAAATTTTGAATGAGGGGCGAGGGTAAAAAAAAAAAAAAAAAAAGCCTTAAATTTTTTCCCCTTTTTTTTTTCCCTTTTTTTTTTCCCCTTTTTTTTTTTCCCTTTTTTTTTCCCCTTTTTTTTTCCCTTTTTTCTTTTCCCTTTTTTTTTCCCCCTTTTTTTTTTTTCCCTTTTTTCTCTTTTATTTTTTTCCTTTTTGTGCGCTCAAAGTATGAAAAATGTGCAGATTAGATAGAGGAAAATTATGGAAGGAGAAAAAAAAAAATGAAAAAAAAAGAGAAAGGGGGTATTTTTTTTTCCGTTTCTATTTTGCAGAAGATATCCCGTAGTTTCTTGCACTTTCTTTCCGCTTTTTACCCAGTTTTTGCTATTTGCCGGGTTCTTTTTTTTAGCATTTTTCATTGCCCTTTCTTCGTATTTCTTATTGCCCTTTTTTTGTTTTGCTCACCTTTCCACACTTGCACTAACGGGAATTCAAGACGCTACGTCAAATCAGCATCCTGCGCAAACACATCCTTAAGCTTTAAGAGCCTTGCGAGACTACACAATCGTAAAAGTCATTGTGAATGAACGCCCTTATATATCACACGACCTTTTTTGTATATGTGTTTATTGTCGGTTTCACCCAGTTTTTTTTTTTTTTTTTTTTTTTTTTTTAGCAAGCGGAAAAGTGACTGTTATTTGGCAGAAGCAATTTTAAGCTGCTAAAATAGTTGTCACACAGGAGTAGTAGTGAAATTCCTCCAAGTCCAATCTCGAATAACACTGCTTCTGCACAGTGTAGTAACAAAAAGGGAAAGACATAAAAAGAAGGGAAATTAAAAAATAAAAAAAAAAAAAAAATGCAATTCCATGGATTCTGAAGAAATCGTGTGTGTACATGTGAACCTGAAGTTTTTAATTTTCAAGAGCATAGAAAAGAATGATAATTGTTTATGCGATAATTTTATCATAAACTTGGCGGATATAAATGACATCGAGTCAGACAACAAGTCGAAGGAATATTTTATTAAAAAGTTTCATAAAATTTTAAAAAAAAAAAAGAGAAATGAATATGAGTGTATACTGAATGGAACTATAACAGAAATTGCAATTTTTTTATTTCAGCATATAGAGTTGTATATACAGATTAGCAAAATCGAGTATGACATAGATGGCCAGAATGGTGATCGTGGCAAGTGGGAAAAGGAAGCTGGAGAAAGTGTAGAAGAAGGCGTGGAAGAAGTCGTAGAAGAAGACGTGGAAAAAGTGACAGAAGAAGAGGTGGAAGAAGAAAAAAAGTATCGCTCCCCATTTAGTAAGACGAGGAGAGGAAAAAATACTAAATTGGGAAAAAATAAAATTCACTTGCTAAAAAGTGTAGACGTATTAGATGACAACATCAATTTCGAAAATGGAAAAATTTATTTCAAATGTTTATTCAAAGATCTGATAAACGATTTTGAATTTGTACACAAGAGAAAGTATGAGAATATTAGCAACTTTTACGTTAGTAATGATTTTATATTTTCTATAACGGTCAAGTTTGAGGAGTGCATGATAGAGAAAAGGGACCTAGAGGAAAAGAAAAATATGAATCCAGTAAAAGATAGGTACACTCATGAGAATGATGATTTTCATTATAACCATCAGGATTATCATCACTATGCACACTTGGATAAGCATCAATATAAGTATTGGCATCTAGTGAACTTATTCCATATGACCAATTTATTCTATTTGTATATTAGCTTCGACTCCTATGGGAATAATTTTTTTCATGAAAATTGTGTAGAAGTGACTGTTGGGGACATGGCTCAAAGTGTATCTGAAAAGGTTCATATGGATGATAGTATGAATCCGATTTCGAAGAATCCAAACGAATCTGTTTATTCTCCCTCGTGTTTAGCATCAAATGATGAAGATGTAGACAATCATCATTTAAATGAGGAAAATAATCGCATTGTGAGTGATCTACCTATTTCTAAAAACAAAAATTCAATCGGATGCCACTTTTCTTTAACCCTAATCGATAGAATGGAAGAACTATACGATTATTTCTGCATCAATGATATACACATAATATTTAACAAAACCAAACTTTATGTCGAGAAGAAGGGGGGGGCCTTATTTTCACGACATAAAAAAGATGGCGAGAATTGGACTTGTTACAAAGACATGAAAAAAATAACATATCACTTAAATACATTATGTGAAGATAAGCCAAGTTTAAAATTTCAAGCTACAATTATGTCCATTTTTTTATGTTCTCATGCTGAGGCTTCTATTGGCAAGTTTGCGAATCCGGTGAGATGGAGGGGTGGTGATTCCTGCAGAAGTGAATCAGACAATGTCGACAGAAGTAGCGATAGAGGAAGATGCAGGAACCGTGGTGGTAACGTGCATTACAAGAATAAGGACCCATATCCCAAATGCAGCAAGACATCCAGTTGGGACGTGAAAATTATTCAGAATAAGAACAAGTTCAACACTGTTATCATGGAAAAGTTCTTAACATGGAATTTTTTTCTCTCCGTCCAGAGTTGTCACATTCTGGAACTAAGTAACATTTACGCAGAGAAGAGAAAGACAAAGCAGAATGATTTTTTTGTGAAAATTGAATCAGGTTTTCTCCAGCATCGATTCATATCCCCATTTTACGTCTTCCAGGAAAGTAAGCAGGTTGGTGTGTGTGCATCCCGCACAGGCTGTGCCGAGAGTAGCGGTGTTTCACTGTGCTTGGACGTGAGGAAAAAGAGAAAGAAAAAAAAAAAAAAAAAAAGAAAAGTAAAAGAAAAAAAAAAAAAAAGAAAAGAAAAGAAAAAGAAACGACGTGCTCATGCATTTGCAGTGCACCCCATCACGCGTAAAGCTCCCAATAATCATTACGGATTTGCTAAAAATGACTAATAAATAACTAATCATGCACTAACCCCTTCTAACAATCCCAACCACCACCACCACCACCCTCCTCTCACAGATCGAATTGAAAAATTGCCACGTGAGCCAAGATTTCCAATGGAAAGACGGGAAAAGTCTATGTACACACCTTGAAAACGAAGTTATACACTTCGAGTTATCCTTACGGGAAGTGCAAAAGGATGAGGGAGAATTTCAAAGTGATATTAACAAAGACAAGTGCAGCGGAATAAACATAGGGTTAGGAGAATTATCCCTAAAAGATTTAACGAAAGAATTAAAATCCATAATGATGAAGGAAGAAGAGGAAGGACCAATCCAGACGTATTACAAGTTTGACTATTGCATTCCACTTTACCTGAATGTTTTTAAGGAAAAATATTTGACATCAGAATTGAATATAAGCATATATTTAAGTAAGCATGAGGGAAAAATTGAAAATGAAAGGGAACTCAAATTGGTAAGAAGAAATATATCCCTGCTGGAAGAAGAAAATCTTACTGATGGACGAGGCTTGAACAAAATCCATAAGACAAATGACATAACTACTGAGGCAATGAACAAAAGAATTAACTACACAAACAATGGATTGAACAGTATCCCAAGGAACATATATGAATTTAAGTTATGGAAAGAAGAAGAAGAAAAACGCATGGGTGAAGTTTTAAAAAAAAAAGAAAAGAATATTATGAGAAAATTGATAAAAAAATATGAATTTATGGAAAGAGAAAGAAAAAACGAATTTGAAATAAAAAAAAATGAATTAAAAGAAATTGTAATAAAAATAAAAGAAGAACAAATAAATATAAAAAAGAATGAAAATGTGATAAAATTAAAAGACAAGGAATTAAATGATGAAATTTATCTATTAGAAAAAAAATTAAAAAAAATAAAATATGCTTTTGAAAAATCATTATATGTATTTAAGCGAAATTTAAGGAAAAATAATTTAAGTGCACAAATGATAAAGGAATATGATGAATTAATATCAAACTACAAAAATGTTCTCGCTCAAATGAAAATTTTAAAGAAAGAAAATCAAGAAATGAAATCTATTCTTAGCAAGTACAACAATAAGGATAATGCTATTATAAGCAACTCCTATTTTGAAGCATTGAAAATTGAGCTCAAGAGGTTGAAACATTTTTACAAACAAACGGTTGAAGCGGAAAAGCGGGGGGACGCACACAAGGGAGACACACACAAGATTTACATAAAAAGTGTTCGAAAGAATAGAAATAAAATTACCCAATTGATTACGAGCATAATTCCACAGATTGAGTATATTTACGATTTAACAAATGATGATTTGCTTGAGGAGAAATTTAGATCCATTTTGCGCGACCTTCAACAGGTGAATTTTATTCTGAAGGGAGAGTCAAAGGAACTTGAACAAGGATTCCCAGATGAATGTCATGATGACACATGTGATGAATTATATCTTAATGCACAGGACGATTTACATCCCAACAATTCACTAAATAAGTATTGGGAAAAAGAACAGACTGAACAGAAGAATAAACTAACGAACCTAGTGTACACAAAGGATAAGGGATCACACGGAAAGGATCTTCCAACTTCAAGTAAAGTAAAAAATTTGATCAAAAATAATAACCTACCTAAGGGGAAAAAGTCCCTACCTTATTACACTCAAAGGGTGGTACCAGCGCGGGGTGCTAGAAAAGACAAGGGTGGAAAAGTTGGTGGGATTATTCCTCCTATTGTAAGCGAAAAAATCAAGGGTGTAAGAGAAAAGCTTGACAAAATTACTACAAATGAAAAAAGTCAAAAAAGAGATGATTCTTATTGTATCCCCAAAATGGAAGGGTTTAAGAAAAGGGAAAAAACAAATAATAATACAAAAATTGCTGATAATTTAAAAAGTGAAATAAACCGATTAATCGAAACAGGAATATATAACGAGGATGATACAATTATAAAAAATATGAAAAAAAAATTGAATGCGCTGCTTTGAAAATGTCTGCATGGAGTGGTGGTCAGGTCTGCATTCATTCGCTGCGTCAACATTTTGTCAACTTTAATTTTTTTTTTTTTTTTTAATGATTTTGGAATCTTCGCGGATAAAAAAAAAAAAAAAAAATTCAACACACTTGTTATTGATATGATCAAATGAATATTAATTTCTTCTATGGAAAATATATGTCATTAGAAGACAGCATATAAGCACAGTTATCACATTGACTCTTCATGTATCTTTAACGTATATGTGTAGCATTTTTTCTCAAGTAACAACAGAGGAAAAAAACATACACATTCACATGCATAGTGATTGATGACCATTCGGCCATCTTCACACTTTTGTTATGAAAAAAAATATGCTTTCTTCTATGAATAATCTTTCTTTTTTTTTTCTCTCTCTCTCTCTCTCTCTCTCTCTCTCTCTCTTCTTTTTTGTTTTGTGGTGGAGAGTTTTTAGAAGCTGTTTTTTTTTTTTTTTGTAGATTTATTTGTATTCATTGTATACAGTTTACAGTTGTGTAGATCTCTATTTTTTTTTTTTTTTTTATTTTCACACATAGAAAAAGGTGGGAATGGTTGAGGGAACATATATTATATATATGATATATGGCATATTTGGTGTGTAACTATACAATCACAGAGGCTTCTTAACATAAATATATCATGAAAATAAAATCTTTAATTTGTGTGTATTGGAAAAAGTAGGAAGAGATAGAGTATTTCTCATATATATTTATCAACTAAGGGAAATGGCAAAAAAGAAGAAAAAAAAAAAAAAAAAAAAACTATTTAGCATATATTATAGCACAAGAGAAAAACATCAGTAAATTTTTTTTTTTTTTTTTTTCTTCTTTTTTACCAGTTCCCTAAGGGCCATTTTATTTTTTCCGTTTTTTTTTTTTTTTTTTTTTTTTACTACTAATTTTTAAGCAAAACATTATTATTATTATTTATTATAGTGCATGCTTTACCCACAAAGAACACCTTAAGTAATTTTCAATTTGTCACTTTTTACATCCTTTTTTTTTTATAAACCTTAATTTTTTTTTTAAAATTGGCATATTTGAAGAAGTTCTCTTTCTCTCTTTTATTTTATTTCTTTTTAGTTGTATGTGCTTTTCTCATTAGCACCTTTTGTTCTCAATTTTTCCGTTGAGATGATTTTTTCAGTTTTTGCAAGTACCGAAATGGTGCGAAATGGAGTAAAACAGGGAACCATCACCAAATGAGTTCCTCGCACGACAATTGTTGAAGAAAATTTTTGTGTCTCATCCATACGTAAACCATAGGTAATGGAAGTGAGGAGAGAGAAAGACCAATGCCATTTATGCACGTACACTGACATAATATCTAATGGGCCTACTTTTCATTATATACTGGCAAAAAAATATAAAATAAAAAAAAAAAAAAAAAAGGGGCGAGAAAGGGAGAAAGGCAAGCAGACCTGTTACTATAGCTAATTTTTTATTCTTGGAGAAAACATAAACAGTACGTAACCCAAGTGAATAAAACTAAAAGAAGAATATAATACATGGGTGTATATATACACACACATATATATATATATACATATATATACATATGAAATACATTATGTGTTTATGAGGAGGGGTGTAGTTACAATTGTAGAACTTGCACAGAAAAATGATGATATCGGATGGTAAAGAACGACCTGAGGGGTCAGTCTGTCAGACCGAAAGGGAGAAAATCAATGAGGAAGATATGTACGTAAAGGAGAACGAGAACTACAAGCACGATAAGGGAGAGAATCCAGATGAATATGACCAATATGATGACTATAAAGGAATCAGCTATGGGGTAATCTTAAAAAAAGTGGTTAGGAGGTGCATAAATGATTGGTGTCTTTTTTGCGAAAGAGTAGACAACGACAATGGTGAAAATTACCATAACCTTCGAAGTGCACTAATACAATACTGCAGGCATATGAGGGAATGTTTTTTGAAAGTGTTAGAATTAGATGCATTTCGAAAGTACTACAAAGAAATAAATGAAATTGTTAAAGAACTTTTTGAATATAGAGAAAGTTATAAGGAACTAAAAACCAAGTATCAATATGAACTATATTTGTGTAAATTAAAACTGATGAATTTACAAATAAATGAAAATAACATTCTATGTGCCTTAGATGTGTTAGCAACAGGTACGTATACTAGATTCCCTACACTTTTTAAAGAAATTTTAAGTAATCCAACAGATTCTTTTATCCCCAATTTAAATGTGAATGAAATAAATATTTTGAAAAAAAGAATTGTTGATGAGTTTTTAATAAATTATTATTCATCAAGGATACCAAAAAATAAAGTTAATTTTATCTTTTCTGATGGATTTATAGAACTAGATATAATTAACGAAGTAAAGGTTTCATTTATTACCGATTTTGTAACCTGGAATATGGTAAAAGCAGATATATCATTTCTTAATCAAATGAATTTGCATTCCTCTCACAATGCAAATCTTATCAATTTGCTGACCTACGCAGTTATGCAGAAACTGCAAGAGTACCACGCGCCCCCCTCATCTCGAACTCAAGATGAAGCTCCTTCGATAGATAAACAGTTTAGAGAAACATCAGGGGAAAAGCACTTTGATGATGCGAACGGGGTATGTGATTACGACAAGATGCACATCTTATCGAAATCTATCGATTCAGATTATGCTGACCAGAGGAGCGACTCAGATTATGCCGATCAGAGGAGCGACTCAGATTATGCCGATCAGAGGAGCGACTCAGATTATGGTGGCCAGAGGAACGGTTCAGATTACTCAGATCAAGATAATCAAAACCACAGAAGTGACGATGATAGCGGCGAAAGTGATGACTTTCTGTTGCAATCCGAAAAAAAGAGTAAATATAAGCAGAAATATTCCTCACGAATGGGAAGAATAGAACAACATTATCACAAGGAGATGGAAAAGAGAACGAAGAGAGAAGAATTGCCATGCAAAGATATATTATACGAAATTTACAAAGTAAGTCATTTTTATTGCAATGTACAGATTATGGAATTTTTCAAAGGGTGTATTAATCAGTACAACTCCTTTAATTATCGGATAAAAAAATTTTACATTTTTAAAAAATTTCGAAACAATACAGTAGAAGTAACACCATCTTGTTACAATTACAACATGAGTGATAAGGAGGTAGTGCTTCACTTGGATATTCATTTACACGAGTTTGAATTGAGCAAAGGAATATATGAATTTTTTGAAAAAATTCCTTTACATGACAAAAATAATGAAAAAAAAATTATCTTAAAATTTGTTTTAAATAACGCAAATGGAAATATAAATGTATTTCTGTGGCCTTTTAGTTTTTTTAAAAAAGAGAAAAAAGAAAAATTATCATTTGACAGCATTTTGTCTTATTATGAGTATATTTTTTGCCATTTTTTAAAAAAGAGGATGAAAAAACTCTTTGTCTTTGACCCTCATTATATTCACTTGGAAAATTGGCTAGCTCGTGTATCCAATTGTGTCACGTGTTTTTTGTTTTCCATTCTGAAGGAATTCTCCATAATGGATGGTGTGAAGGGGGATGTTAAAGGCGAAGCGGTAGATAGTGTGGAAGAATCTGTTGATGGAATGGAAGCAAGGAAAAAAAAACATGGAAAGAAAAAAGGTACAGCTGACTTTGGATCAGGGAGAAAGGGATCACTAATCTATAAACCATACTTTGATAACCACGCGAGGGGAAGTGAAACCTCCTTCGAGAATAACACAATAGGAATTCATGAGTTGATCCAAGACTACTTCTTCGATCTGAGCTACATCCGTGAGCAGATAAGGAGTGTTAACGAGCATGGAATGAAAAAAAAAGGAAAAAATATCAAAGGGGGAGAAAAAGAAAAAAATCTTCTGCAGGATAAAGAAAAAGAGGCAGAGGAAAAATTATGCAATGTAGGTAGAAGTAACCATTTTGGAAATTTACACAACAACAAATACACGACGCCCTTAACAAATCGAATAAAAATAATAAGGATAAAAAAGCGAAACTGGAATTCATACCTACTGAAATACATATTTTATGAACAGAAAATTCAATTATTTTTAAATAGACAAAGTGAAAAGTTTATTTTCATGTGCAATTGGAATAAGGCATTCATTAATGTGATCAGTCTTAACTATGATTTAAAGTTAATGATTTATGTAATATACATATTGAAACGTTTTTCTCTTTATGTATACATGTATAATGAATTAAAAGAAAGATTGATTAAAATAAAGGCAGGAAGATTTTTCAATTTTGAATTTGCGAATGATGAATTTTGTCCTTGTTTTCATTTTTATAAATTAAAATTACATGACTTTTTAAAAAAATACGACTACTCATCGAATATTGTTTTAACCAAATTCCTTCAAAGCTTTTTCTCATTCATTGATTTTTATTTTTATCTACCTTACCGTGAAAATTTTCATAAATCTCACTTTTCCAATCTCAGACAAGATGTCATTGAGGAGAAGAAGTCTCAGGAATTTGAAACATATATCCGTGAATTGATCAAAAAAGGAGACAAATATGCGCGCGAAGCAAAGGGGGAAAAATATACAGAGGACGCAAAAGAGGAAAAATATGCAGAGGGCGCAAAAGAGGAAAAATATACAGAGGATGCGAAAGTCGAATTTGATAAGCCAAACCATATGCATCGCACAACAACAGGTAGTAGTAAAATGGGAAGAAATAATCACGATGAGCGAAGTCATATGTTTGAAATGATGAATTTAGGCAGTTCTCAACAGAAATTCGAAGGAAATATACCTAACGAGAGTAATTATCATAATATGACTGAAAAAGGAGGAGAGAAAGAAACACAAGATAAATTCTCATTTAGAAAAAATTTCGTAACAATTTTATATTTCACAATTTACACTTATGATAACACACCTCTTCTCTTGTGCATGATGATCGAAAGGGATTACATATTTCACACATATATTGTTATATCTTTTGAAAATAAAAAAATAATTTCAGAAAAAAATAAAACTGGTACGGAACAGAAGAAAAACAAAAAGGGAAAACTATTTTTCACAATACCCCTAATACATAGAACTTATCCCATTGGGGAAAATATTAAACATTATCTTAACAGTGTTCGTGATTTAGTAAACATATTTTCAAATATGTTTTCCAATTTGAGTAAGATTTTACAGATGAATTACAAATGTGCAGTTTTTTCCAATCAGCTCTGTTTTTCCTCATCTAAGGGAGGATCATCGTATAGGATCACGTCTTTTCAACGAAGCAAATCAGATACAGGAGTGGGGAAAAAGGTAGAAGGAGAAAAGAGCCAGACGAAAAGCGAAGGCGAGAGCACGATTCGACTTGGCTATGACAAGATGTATTTCCATTTGAGAAAAGAAAGAAAGAAAAATTTTCTTGATTTGCAATATTTCATTAATAAGAAAAAGTTCACGAATGAACATACGGGGCAAGATGAACGGAGTGGAACGAAAGAGAAATATCCACATGACTACATCAGCAACTACATGCTGCATCTATCATGTGCAGTAGATGAGGAGGAGTACTACTTGAGTAAAGAATATATGAACAGTCAGGTGAAAAACAAATTTTCCTTTTTGATCAGAATACACACTAGTGGATCCTTTTTTTTTAAAATCCCATTAAGATGCAAGAGATTTATGAAGATAAAAAATTTAAATGTGCTAAAAAACAATGACGTATCTTTTTTATGTGCAAATGTAGTGATAAATGCAAAAATTCAGGAGATAAAAATGACCCAAGTGAGCGAAAATCAAAGTGATATATCGAAAGCCAATTCAAATGGGGATGACACATTCGAAATGGGCAGCGAAGGTGAAAAGGAACGAACACGAGTTTCAAAAGAAATAAATTCTCAACACGAGAAAACAAGTATAACCAAAGATTGGGTTCAGCTAAAAAAAATGTATGTAGTAATGAAAGACGAATGTTCACCAAAAAACATTTTGTACCTCTTTTCGGTTCTGAGCAAAATATTCTCAGTTATGAATATTTTTACAGAACTTTATTGTTTAGAAAAAATATTATCCTCAGATATATACATCTCTAATTGCCATTTGATGAATATCAGTGTTATCCATCATTGTGGATATAACAGAGAAATTGCGTGCTCAGTCAATTTTAACATTCTTAGCAATGATGAGACTCTGACAAAGGGAGATGGTGATGGTGGTTTCACTAGCATCGCGACATGTAATAAGCAACAAAGTGAAAAATCAGAGGACTCTTATAATGTAACCTTAGACAAGGAGAAGAAAAATAACTTTTTAGCATGCCCAATAAGGACAAATAATAATAAAAACTTGATGAACAAATATAAGACGAATGGGAAAAAATATAGCAATTATGAAAATTGGGATGAAGAGAACTTGATAGAAAAATTACTTTATATTGATATTTCATTCAATTCTCCTTATGAATGCATTAATAAATTATTTTTACGAGAGAAGAAGAATTTTGATCTGTATATAAAAAAGAAGAAAAGTATTTTTAGACTTCTAAAATTCATATTTTTAACCTTTGAATTTCATTACAATTTTCACATTTTAATTAATAATACGAGTAACCATTTGAATAAAATAAATTTTTTACATCAAATGAATTTTCTCCATCATTTCGATTTTCACTATGTTAATCTCTTAACTGTCATTTTGGCATTTAAATCTTTTAAAAATGAAAAGAAGAACGGGCTCTTATCTTTTTATATAATACTTCACCCAGAGCACTTTTCCAAAATTCTGATTATTCCGCACTATGACACAGTTTACATGAACAAACATCACACGAGGGAAGTCTCCATAAAAAAATTTTTTAAAAAAGGGAGACATTTATTTCGGGATTTGGAGAAGATAAATTATTCACCTTTTCGAAGGAGTCCTGATATGGATGGTGAAGATGGGAAACGAGATCAAGTAATGCTTCAGGTGGAGAAACAAACAGAGGAGGGGACAAAAAACAGTGCTGGGAAAAGTGCTTTATACATTCATTCGTGGGAAGAACCCAGAAAAAATAATCACAGGCAAGGCTTTTTTCCCGATTTCGAAAAGCATGTAAATGTGAACAGCGGCCTGGATAGAGACCAGACCAACGACCCGACCAGCGACCCAACAAAGCACCCAACCAACGACCCCAATAGCACATCGTTCGAGAAAGGAACAGGAGATCAAGTACACTCCAAAAGAGCAGAATCCTATATGATGTACAGAATGAACAACAGGATTCCCCCATGCAATCGCATAAAGATTGACCATATGGATGAAGAAGAGTTATTTATCTATTTATTTTTACAATTTTGTGACATCATAAATTTAAAAAGTACAAACTCATGTGCAAACTACCCCTTGAGTCACAGCAAATATAGTAATAATGTACATTCATCAGGAGACAATGACATTTTTTTGGAAAATACACAAGAAGATAAAATATTTGGAGATGGCATATTCATGAATGATTTAAAAATATTCGAAGAATATGACATGTTCATATTAAATATAAAATACTTGTTTAAAATAAAAAATCAAATTGTGTTATCTGAAATTTTTTTCGTCCCACCTATTTTTCTCTACACTACACTGTATACACTTGTAGACCACATAAGAACGTTAAAATATTGGATTCTTTTGATATATGAACTTAGAGTTCATTACTCAGATATTACTCTGACGAGTTCAGAGATAGATGACGTTTTTCAATATGTTACTGCTGTGAGGAAGCCAGGTACCCCAACAGTTACTCACGAGAAACCGTTATCAAAAGGGACAGATGAAAAAACTGAAGAAACAAAAAATGAAGGAGAAGTAAACGCGGTAGAAAAGATGAACTCCACAAGGGATGGGCAATCCGATATGAATAATCAAAGGGAGGGAAAAGTTGCTAATATGAATACCTATCTAAAGGAAGGTAGTGAGCATGGTGAAAATGGTAAAAATGGTGAAATATTCATACACCTTGTATGGTTTATGTATAGCACCAAAGATTTTCACCTGGATACATTGTCATTTGGAGAGTGTAAAAATCATAAGAGAAATTATGAATACTTTTTATGCAGCAAGAAGGAGGTAATTTCCGAACATTTATACGAATCTAGTAATGACCCAAACACGGGTCAGCATAAAAAGATAAAAAAGAGTGAAGAAGATGGAAACGACAGCATGAAAGGAAATTCATGTGACAAAATAAAATCAATGGAAGAAACACAAAATGGAAAATATGAAAATGTAAGGACTAGTCTAATCAAAACAAAGAGGGAACAAAGAACGACCAATGAAATGGGTAAAGAATTTGTGATAAACAAAATGAACTTGGACAAATTAAAATATATGGTAAATGCATATTCTCATATGATTGATGATATATTTTTGAAAGAGAAATCACAAAAAATATTGCTTGGGAAGGATTTTATAAAAAAAGCGTACGCCTTACGAAATTTGGAGTTAAAAAGTGGGAACGTTTTAAGGAAAAGACGTGTGCATATTTGGGATGAAAAAAAAAATACAAAAGTGGACAACACTTATGAGGAAGAAAAGGTTGAATTTGACTTCGAAATTGGAAGCGCAACGTCCCTTAAGAGGAAAAGAGATACATGGAATGGTCATCAGGAGGAGCAAAATGATTTTGAAAATATATTTTTTTTTAATGACGAAAAAGTTTTGAACATGGACAAAAATAATTGTTCGATAACACCTGACTGTTCAGGCGAAAACACTTACAAATGGGACATGCACTATTTGACGAACTCAATTGGGGTATATTTTGAAAACGTTGGAGAAAACGTGGATGAACAAGATTCTTGGTTTTATTACGTCAGGAGAAGAAGGGGAAATCATAATCAGGAAAAAGAGAGAAAAAGAAATTTTATTCTTGCAGAGGAAAATATCCTGAAAATAAATTCAAAAATTAATTCAGCCCTCAATATAATTTACAAGTATATAAGAATATGGCTACTAAAAATGAAGCACATCAGTGTTATTTCCTTTTTTCGCGTAATCAATGACATAATAACTGATAAAAAGAAGATTTTTGAACTGTCTTCTTTACTTTTCAATTGCGTCCTGTCCTACCAAGAGCATTTACAATTTTGGATGTTTCGAAATAAAGAAAATTTATTAACGCCTTTTGTTGAAACTGAGTTTCTCATTGAGGGGATTGGCGAGCCTGCACCAGAGGATGTGTTGTATGGAAAAGAAGCAGAAAAAGCATCCATGAAATGGATCGAATTGGTTGTTCCATTGTTGAAAGATGTTCAGGAAAATTATCTCATTAAACATAGGAACAACAATTGCATAAGAACAGTTAACCCTAATTGTGAAAGAGATGCAGAAGCTTGTGACCAAGGACCCCATACTGACGACTTGGAAATTCCAAGTAGAGAAAAAAAAAATATCGTCGTAGGACGAGGGAATGGCAATAGTCAAGAAGAGGATTGCCATTCAAATTTCACTAATGATAAAATGATTAGCATAAATTATAAAATGTGGAGATATATGCCATTTCCTTTTAAAAAAAATATATATAAACAGGAATTTCCAGACATTTTAAACGAAACGAATGAAAGTGTTCCTCTCACATTCAAAATACCATCATTGCTTCAAATTAAGAATTTAAAAGAGGTTTATATAAATAATGAACAGTTTGTTAAATTTCTTATGAATAATAAAATCGATTTGAATATTGCTCATCAGCGTGTTATGAAAATTCTACAAAAATACAATCTGATGGCAAATTATTCTCTTGTTGCTACTCAAACCATCCTTCACAGTTCTACCTTTGAGTTGTTGTTAAAAGGGAAGAACAGCAAAACAGCAGAGGATTCTACACCTCCTGTGTGATAGGATCGTGATTCGAGTTATAGTGACCAGCCTTGGCAACTGTAAAAAGAAGTACCACACACAGTTACAATACATTAATTTTTTTTTTTTTTTTTTTTTTTTTTTTTTTTTTTGCACCAGTAGGTGTGCTTCCTTACACGTATGAACTTTTAAAAATGATATCAAATCGTTTTCTTTTATGTGAAAAGAATATGTTCGAGTTGTTATAAACAATATTTAATATTATTTGTACATATATGCCAGCATGCAAGCAAATATATATATGTATATATAATAACCCCTGAAGCGCGAAAGTTTTACACAAGCAAAAAATTTACTACTGCTTGTGGGTGAGGAGAAAAAAATAATTAAAGAAAAAAACACAAACAAGTATGGGCGTTGTTACGTGTGTCATATTATATGGTACATTGCATGTGCAAAATACTTAAGACAAAAAAGGCTTAAAACTTTTTTTCGTTGGGCATTTTGGGCGTCAAAAAATGAGCTGGTAAAAATGTGAAGTATTAAAAATGAGCTGATAAAAATGTAAAGTGCTAAAAACAAAACATAGAAGAAGGCACATATCAATAAAAACAAAAAAAAAAAAAAAAAAAAAAAAAAAAAAAGAAAAAAAAAAAAAAAAAAAAAAAAAAAAAAAAAAAAAAAAAAAGGGAGAAAAAACGAAGGGGGAAAACAGAATGAAGAAACACAACATGTTCTCCCATTTTGTTTCCCTCCTTGGTACACACCCCTTTTATGCAACTTACATGAATTGTTCGCCGAGGGAAAAATATTGCGACATAGACATCCTTAACCAGTTGCAAATGAAAAATAAAGTACCTCCTTTGGAAAGCATAAATATCAAAAGGGGGAAGCGATGCGCTAATAATATATTATTAACACGTTATAAAAATTTTGTCATAACTTTTAATGAAAAAAAAAAAAAAAAAAAATATTTAAAAGAAAATATAAAGGGGGTAAACAACAAAATATATTATGAAAATAATTTTCCAAAAAAAAATCAAGTACTACAGAAGAGGTACAATTACTTTTTAAGTCCTCAAATTGTTAAGTGTGATGGAAAGGATAATTACAAATATGTTAATAATAAAGGGGAAGATGGTGGTTTTTTTGTAAACAATAAAAGCTATAAGAATGTAAAGAGTAAGAAAATTACTCTCGGGAAAGAAAAGAAAGACCATGTAAATCAAGGCGAATTGGGACATCCAGACAGCTTATGTAGTGAGAATGTGAACGATCATTTGAACAGTGAGACAGAACTATGCAATGATACACCAAGTGGAGGAGAAAAGAAAGCAGAACTAACAGAAGATGCATTTAATTTTATTGAAAGCATAATAAAAAAACATAAAATAGTTCTTTTCATGAAAGGAACAGCATTAAACCCGTTTTGTAAATATAGTAAACAAGCAATACATATTTTAAAGTTAAACAAGGTCAAAGAAATACGAACTGTCAATGTATTGGAAAATGAACAGTTGAGAAGTTCTTTAAAAAATTATTCCCAATGGCCTACATTCCCACAGTTATATGTCAACGGAAATTTTGTTGGAGGCATAGACAAATTGCAAGAGTTACATGACAATAAAAAATTAAAAGACATACTGGAGCATTGATAATGCACTTTAATTGGATAATCAAGTGATTTTATGGATTCACACATATGAAAGAAGGGGGAGAGGGGGGGGGGGGGGTATCCATTTTTCTGTTCCCATGAGATGCCATAATATGTATTTTAAAGAAACCCAGTGCACCAGCGTCATCGCAAGTGCACTTGGATGTGCATGTATATGCATATACTCATCTACCTATCTATTTTCCTCTATACATATATGCATATATGCATATATATAAATATATAGATATTGAGAGATATACAAATGTGTGCTGCTTGTGTTTGGATGCTTCAAAATGAGCACTATTAAAAGAGGGAGGAATAACGAGGAATCACCTTCCCAGGGAATGGACTTCCAGAAACAAGAAAAGGACCCCACAATTTTCCCACGTGTATTTTATCCCCATTTGTGTGAATGCATGTATGTATTATTAAAAACAAATGTGTTTCAAATAAGTTAATAGTTAAACGTGAAAAAAAAAAAAAAAAAAAAAAAAAAAAAAAAAAAAAAAAAAAAAAAAAAAAAAAAAAAAGAAAAAAAAAAAAAAAAAAAAAAAAAAAAAAAAAAAAAAAAAAAAAAAAAAAAAAAAAAAAAAAAAAAAAAAAAAAAAAAAGTGTTTCAAAAAAGTTAAAAGTTAAACGTGAAAAAAAAAAAAAAAAAAAAAAAAAAAAAAACAGAAAACAGAGAGCACAGAGCAGAATGGGCTTCAAAAATGATGTAAAAAAAAAAAAAATGAAAGGCACAAATTCAAAGAGAAGCATATAGTTCTAAGATCAGAAGAAGTTTCTGGAACTACGAACGCTTCCACTGGAATTTGAAAAGTTATAAAAGAAAAAAAAAAAAAAAAAAGCACAACGATTAAGGCAAACATTTTATAGACAACTTGCACGACTTTAATGAATATGAGATGATTTACGTAGGTAAGTGAGTATGGGTGTTTCCTCACCTTTGTATTCTACGTACTACACGTTCTGCATTAAAAAGTAGTTAAGAGATATATATACACACACATATGTGTGCAAATATAAGTGTGCATATTTTTTTAGCATAGAAACTGCAAACTTCATGATCTGTTCAGGCGGAACGATAAAAAAAAGACAATTCCGTTTTCAACATCATCAAGTAAGGCATCTTTTGCAAAATTTACGCTAAACGAATAAGAGTAGCATTAAAAAAAAAAAAAAAAAAAGTGAACATGTCAAAATATAAGGTTGAAGAAATCATAAGGGAAAAGCTTCCAAATTATATGATCCTTTTTTGGAATATAAAAATGAAAAAAAGAGTTATAGTGATCAAAAAACTGAGATAAATATTCGCTGTAAATCATTTTTTCTCCATACACCAAACTGGATTCAGGTACGTAAGCAAAATGGAAATTGTTATCATTAAACAATTGTTCTTCACTGGAGTTCGACGTTGTTTCAGAGGTTTTATCAGTAGAAGTACGTGTGAAATTCGTGCACGAATTTGTTGTACACTTGTTAAGGTGATCCTTTTGAACTTCCTTGTCGACCGATCGAATTGAACTATCGTGCAAAGCTTCACCTTTTCTGTTATCCCCCTTATTTACTAAAAGAAGGTAGTGCACAGAATTCTGAAATTTCGATGGATACTCCAAGAAAATATAATATTTCCACGCACTTGGGGCGTAGCATATGTAATCCCAGCTGACAACCACAGCTTCATAGTTCCAGTAACGATGTCTCACAATATTCCCAATATGAAAAATGGGAGTTCCTTTGTACATTCTTTTTCGTACATAATTTCCTAGCCCGAAATCATATTGTACACCAAATTTTATTTGGGTATTCAATGGAACAGATTCAAATGTATGTATGTTTTTTTTCTCTTGCATTTCTTTTTTTTTTTCTTCAAATTCCTCAAAGTACAATTGATCTTCCTCACTCATGTATGGATCGTTTTGTGAATTTATACCCTTGTCATTGTCATCCTCATTAAATAACCGAACCCTTTGAGCACTAGCTGCATATACATTTCTGAAGCATCTTATAACTTCATTTTCTGATCCCACAGATATGTGCAAAGTCGGATGGGCACAAAGAAAAGGGGAAGTAACATGCACATAGTAGTGACATTCTGTTGTTTGAAAAACATTAACTATTTTTGTTTCAGTCTCATTTTGATAAAGTAAAGAACAATCGAAATACATAGTTGTTATATAATCATACACTTCATCTAAATAATTTTTACATTTCCCTCCTTTTAAATCAATAGCTAAAGCCTTATAAAAATTTTCATTTCCATATTTTAATATTTCTGCTGGTTTATTTATCATGTATGTACTTATGTATGGAATTCGATCCCAAGCAGAGGAGAAAAAGGGATTATATCTTCCATGGTTCGATAGGTTCAGATGTTTGCTATCCATTGTGGGATTCTCCTCTCTATGCTGCATATTATTGTGATGACTATGGCTGTTTATATGAGTGTTCATATAATTGTGAGCGTTCTTTTTTGGGGAATCGCTTCCTTTTTTAACATCATCTTCCTTTTGGACATCTGTACTCTTGACCCCCTGAGCTGATGACAGGGATGACATAGTCAAAGAGTGAGTCAAATCGGATGAGCCATCGATCTGGATAGATGATGATGGTGAATTATCATGAGGGGGAAAAGAAGGACTAGCAGCATAAGGAACTGCATGCTCTATGTTTCTCTCTTTCTCTGTTTCACCTGCGTCGTTTGTTTTGTTTTCCCCGTTTGACTTGTTTGCCTCGTTTGTCTTGTTTTCCCCGTTTGACTTGTTTGCCTCGTTTGTCTTGTTTTCCCCGTTTGTCTTGTTTTCCCCGTTTGTCTTGTTTTCCCCGTTTGTCTTGTTTTCCCCGTTTGACTTATTTGCCCCGTTTGCCCCGTTTTCCTTGTTTGCTTCCCCTTCGTGTCCCGAGGGCCCCAACGAAATAGCAGCAGATGGTGCAGTTACACTTTTTTGTGAACTGGGATAATTTTGAATATCTTTATAAAGTCTATAATTCTTTTGAAAAACAGGAAATGCATCGTACATTTTTTCGTAAAATGGTTTTCCTTCATTTATTGAACGATCAGAATGGCCTAACAAGGTAAGGGGATATTTTACTAATCCATATTCATCTTTCTCATACTTAATGACACTATATGGTATGCAAACTTCGTATATATATCCATCATTCTTACTGTACTCGTGACATTTATTCACTAAATTTTTTAGTAAAAAATGGTTTGGCGGATTTATTGTATCCGTGTAATTACAAAACATGTATGCACTTAGTGTTATGCGATACAAGTGTGTTACATTTGGGAAAAAAGCATTTAGAATTTGATTAAGTTTATCCTTTAACGATTTGAAATAGCTATCACTGTATTTATACATAGAAAATGTTTTAAAAAAATAAGATTCGTTATTCGTCAACTTGTTTAATATAATTTTATAAATGTTTCTCAAATTTGCATTAAGACGCTTATAAATTTCGAAAAAACTTGGATAATAAATCCTATGTAATTTTTCAAAACTATTAATTTGTAAATTGTTGTTTCCACATATGTAAAGTGCTTCAAAGAAATAAGTCCCATCTGTGTAGTATTGAACCACGGTGTTATTGGCAAACATCAAATCTTTATCATTCAAGTAGCTCGAGATGGATACATGTCTTCTGTTAGAATCGGGTGTTTGCACTCTGTTCGAATCGGGTGTTTGTATTATGTTAGAATCGAGTGCTGGTATTCTATTCAAATCAGATGCATCTGTTTTGTGCTCACTTGAGAATTGACTATCATGACCCTTTTTGGTAATAAAGGACACATACTTGTTGAGGCAAATTTTCAAAATATTTTCACTAGAAGAACTATATGAATCAATACATACATTTTTTATTGTTAGCATCTTTCCTTTTATCATATGATTTTTTATCTTTAATTGTTCATTCACATTGCTGTATATTCTATTCTTATGATAAGCATTAAATTTGTGTTTATAAAAAATATAGTCATACAATTTTTTGAAATTACATTGTAGCGCTAACTGTCTCTTATTGTTTTTACTTCTTCCTTCGTGTGATTGCCCATAGGATTTTTTCTTCTTTCCAGGATTCCTACCCTTTGCTCTTGTATCTCCTCGTTCGTTTTGTCCTCCTAAAACGGAACGATCATTATTGTATTTGGTGTTGCCACTGCAGCTGGTGATGCTGCTCCCCCTCGTCCAGTTACTCTCATCGCCATCGTGTCTGCGTCTACATGCTTTGTTTATACTTCCACTCATTTGACCTACCCCCAATGGATTCGATAAAAAAGAATCATTTTTTCCAGACAACTCGTAATATATCCCCATGTCTTCAGAATACTTTATGAGGTAATTACTTTGATGTAATTTTTCTTCTACATAATTATTCATCCCTTCTGATGCATTTTCTGTCTTTGTAATTAAATCTATTTCGTCACAAGCTGTCATCAGCTCCTCTTCCTTCACTTCACCAGAGTGATTATCATTGGGAGAAATTCCATTTTGTGTGCTAAGCAGGCAAAGATAAGAGTCATTTCCTATTGTTACATTGGTATATTTATACGATCTGTCAATTTTCAGGAATTCGCTAGGTATAGTAAGATCTAGTTGTATTTGATATTTTGTATTTAAGAAGCATACGCACACTAGTATGTTTCTCGTTACTGCAACTAGAAAAAGCGCACGCCTAAGTACAAGCACAAGCGACATTTTTTTTTCTCCTCTTTTATACTTTTTTTAAATAGATTAAACACATTCATTATATATGCATGAACGGTTGTAGTTGTGTGTGTGTGTGTGATTTTTTTTTTTTTTTTTTTTTTTTTTTTTTTTTTTTTTTTTTTTTTTTTTTTGGTTGTTTTTTTTTTTCTTTCCCTTTTTCCCTTTTTTTTTTTTTTTTAGATTTTTTTTTTTTTTTTTTTTTGTACTACACATTTTCATAGTCGTACGATGTTTGCTTAGTTGGAGTAGTCCTGACATTTTCTTCCAAATTTATTTTTAATTTTTTACAAAGAAATTCTACGACCCTACAATTCGAATGCGTATAATATAAGTCTTTATATAGTAAGCATTTTTTCTGCAGCATTAATATATATTTCATTTCTCAAATT